GTATTATTTGAAGCTCTGTCAAAAACAAATTAGTGTGAAGGAACAGGAAGGACAAAGGATGAAACAAAAGAATTAGCCATCATTTCTTGGGCTCTTACCAAGTGCCAGCCCTTCATCACACAGTCCTTCAGAGTATATCTTCAGTGCTGCCAATACTCATGTAGGATGACAGAACATGGCACACACCAATGGTTCAGTCCAGAGTACATTTGCAGCACACATGGGCTCCATGCCCAGTGATGTCAACTTTGCTTTCCACAAGCATTTTGCAAGGTGGTCTTTTCAAGTGATTTTTTTTTCATGGATTTTGATTCTAGTACACATTATATAAGCTTGAAACACTAGAGTTCTTTCATGTCTTTCATGGACATTCTCACTGACTCTATGTCAGTAACTACCAGTGAGGCAGCCCCCAGATTAAGCCTTTTAGGAATACTGCCTTCCCATGTAGATGCGTTGGACATTAGAGTAGAAAGAGTAGATTAAGAGACTTCCCTCAGATGGATGCTGTTTGATTTTCTGTGGCCAGACTCCTCTCTGAGGCTTTTTAACGGCACCCTCTCATTGCACTCATGTATTCATGTTGTGAGTCACATCTTGATGCTGCCAACTGCATGGTCATCATTTTATAAGGTTCTTATTTCATGGTGGCCAGTCCTCATCATCTTTCTGACACATGTTGCATGATATTCTGTAATCTATAATTCGATGCTTCACAAATATGAGAAACGATGACTTCTCCACTCCCATATTGATAGATACGCTCACATAGAGCTGTTTCTGAATTAGTCAGCGAGAAATCTGCTCTTCATCGGTAGCTCTGATAGTAGTGATGTATAAATGATCTCTGAGATTGCTCTTTCTAATATCCATCATAGACAAGACAGCAGTGCTCGATTTATGGCCTGTTCAGTTCCTTCAACAATCACACATACTAGTTTGCAGTGAGTCACGTTTTAACAAGAGACAAAACTCAAATAATGGAGGAAAACAGTGTGAATCTTGTGATTCCGCCTGGTGGGATTGGTGACCTCTTCTTCCAAATTTACATCTATAAGCACAAGGTATATGACTGCCTGTTTGATGGTTATTTTGGTATTCTCATTGTATTTGGAAATGCAGCATGATGCTAGATGAGTTTCAAAAGATGTGGAGCTTCCTGATCGAGCAGCTGGTCACACAGACAGGGACTGGTCATCACCTCAAGGTTCACTGTGGGGCAGCAGGGCTTGTTTCCAAATGGGCTCAGTTCCAATATCAGTATGACCTATACAGTGTAGTAAACTACAGAACAATAGCTTCTACAGGCTCAACCCAAGTTCTGTTTTCTCAAACAAGAAAGAAAGGTGCTTGTGAGCATTTCTATTGAAATGTGTCAGTGGCTTTCAGACTTAAGAAGGCTTTCTATGGAAGAAGGAAGAAGCTATGGGTGAATATGCTTACCTTCCATGGGAAACCTGCATGAGACATGTGGACTGGGTACTAGGAGAGCACTGAGAGGGCAGGTGTAGACATTCCATTTAAACCTGCAGCTCTGACTACATCCTTGCGCATGAGTCTCTTGAGCAGCTTGGCCTCGGCTTCCCACTGCCCCTTCTTCCTTTATCATCCTTAATGTTTTTGAGAGCTGAGGGCAGTGTTCCTTTCAGACATTTAACCCTCTTTTCTATTGCATTCTAAATCCTCCTCAGCATGTACCAAAGTAAACCAACTTAGCACTGTCAGTTGATGAGTATGGCTCTTCATGCAAGAGTACTCATCAAATCCTGTTAGTGTGTGTGTGTGTGTGTGTGTGTGTGTGTGTGTCTGTGTGTGTGTGTCTGTGTGTCTGTGTGTGTGTGTGTGTTGCAGTATGTTGTCTACCATGTGTGCAGTATATGGACACATGCCTATGTAGGTATAGAAGTCTATATTTGAACACATGGAGGCCACAGAAGTATCTGGAGTGTCTTACTCTCCTGCTCTCTGCCTTATATTTTGAAACAAATTTACCAAACAGCAACTCAACATTTTGTTTAGCAAGGCTGGCCAGTGAGCTTCTGGGACCTACCAATCTCTACCCTCAGACCCACACAGCCATGCTGTGTGCTTAGGATTTGAACTCAGGTCCTCTTAGTGTGATAGCAAGTGTTCTTATCTACTGGTATATCTGCTTGGCCTGCTGACCGTATATTAAGGAACTGGAAGAATTTTATGTTTTATGGCATTTCGTTCTCAGTCCTTTGTAATTCTAAATGAATGTGCAGGCTTTAAGGTTAGACAGTCTGATTTGGGGCTTCCTGACCACACAAGATGCTGGCTTGTGAACTTGACCGGATTATTAAACTCTTTAGTATCCTTCACTATAAAGCAGCACCTATCTCTCTGTTTCTTGTAAGTTTAACAGCCCAGAGCATAGCTCACAGAATAGTGCAAGAACTAGTTTCTCAGAGTTGAGTTATTTTTATTATAAACTCAAATCCTAGAAGTAGCATGGATCACCTTCTTTGTGGTAATTCTCCTACTGGACAGTTGTGATGTATTAGAGATAGATACCATATTTCATCATATATTGGGCCCCATAGGAATGGCAGAGGTGAGTATTTTGGGAGAATGTTTGATAAGTGTTGGTGAATCTGCCTCATGCTTCCCAATTGAGTACTGTCAACCTTAGCCCCAGGCAGGGCACATACAAGTGCTCTCTTTATCTGGTCAGGGTTATTTTTTAACATTTGTTTTTAATTATGTGCATATGTGTGTATATGGACACACATGGGTACCTGGGACCTGGGATTATAGGTAGTTGTGAGCTTCAGAATATGGATACTGGAAGCCAAACTTGGATTCTCTGGAAGAGCAGTGTGCACTTTTAACTGCTAGGCCATCTCTTCAGCGCTAATCATTTCCAGTTGACATGAGGTTTACTGTTACTATTGATGCTGGTGGTGGGTGATTTGCCTGGTTTGGATAAAATCTCACATTGTAATCTGGACATGTGAACCTGGGTACAGGGTACATTCTGAAATGAATCTATGCATACAGATGACGATTTTCTATAAACACTAAATATAGTTTTGTCATTTGTCTTTGATTTTATCAACTGTTTCTGTAATAGTTCTCTCTTGGAGATTTTTAATTAGTATTACTTTTTTAAAAATTCCTCAGTATTTTATTTGTGTGCCAGAGAGACACCTGACTTAGTGAGTCTCTCTCCGGGATCCTAAAGTGTCCAGTAACTGTGCATGCATCTATCATCATGTCATGTTTCAGTGCAATTTAGTTTGTTTATTCCAAATGTATCTGTTCCAGGTAAAAGCATCAGTGACCTAAAAACAAATGCTTGGTGGCATAGAAATTAAATCATTTCTTGTCAGGATTTCTATGTATCATTTTATATTTACTAAATTAGCCTCAGAATGATATAAAGAGCTGAAGGAAAAGCAGAGTAGATATGCTAATTATTTTATTTATATATTTTTTAAATGTAGAGCTGTATTAAGACATTTTTGATGATAAAGAGATGATTGACAGTTGGTGACAGTTCTCCTGGACATGATGAAAGTAGGGTCAGTCTTTGTGCTGTGTCCTGACTATTCCAGCTCCAAGATGAGCTTGTGTGTGTCTTATTAACATTGAGGGCTTATCTTGCTAGCAAGACTATTCTCAGTCGTCCTGTCAATAGAATTCAAACTGGTGCAATCAATCAGGTATTGTCAAGTACAAGGCCTGGTCAATTGCCCCAGAACAAAACAATTGTCCCTAAAAGTGGATCCTTGTAGATATAGCTGCTGTGTCTCTCTATTAATTCTGAATATCAAAGGTTACTGCCATGATTATCCTAAGTACACCATAAAATCCTGATGTTTACTGAATGAGTTGAGTTGCCTTGAAAATAAATGAAAGAGAGGTGGAACTGGTTCCTGGGAGTTTTTAAAGAAATGAATTAGGGCATAGAAGTGTGTGAAAACTTTGCTTTTCCATTATCATTAGGCTTAATCCCAAGTTAAAAAGATAACACTCTAAGCGCTATATGTACAATTCTGATTCCTAAATTCCTAATAAGCCTGATGGTTAAATAGGCTTCACCATGATTTTAGCATTTATATGTTATTGTATTTCCACTGATTATGAGACCGTAAAGATTCCAGATTGTTTCAACACTCATTTTCCCTCTTTGTGCATTCCCTTGGTGACCTAGAAATCAGAAAACAAGGCTTGATTGTCACAGTTACCAGGTCACCATAGTAACGGCGGATGCTAAAGCTAATTCAGGGTATCACCCTGGTGGTTTGTGGTTTTGACTCAGTTTTTATCTTCAAAAAATCATTTTAAGGCTTTAGTGAAAGCACATAAATTATGTCCAGTAACATGCATGTGTGCATACGTTTGACTGTCATGAACAAGTGTTACTTTAAAGTCCAGAATTCCTCAGTCCTCTGGACCTCATTTTCTTCCTCTCTTTCTCAAGTATAAGGAAGGATTTTCAAACAGTCGAACATGTGCTGATCTGTGAACATGTGCTATTTACTTGTTTCTTTTGTTTAGTCGCCTTTTTAAATTTGGGGGGGGGGATTACAATATACTTAGATCATTTCCCTCTTCCCTCTCCTCCCTGCAAACTCTCCCATATGCCCTTCTTTACTCCTTCACATCCATGGCCTCTTTTGTCATTAATTGTTATTGCATTTATAGGTGCAGATGTATATGTCTATATTCCTAAAGAGATTCCTAAACGACACTGTCGCCTTGTGAACTTGGATGCAGACTTTCCTCAGGATGACTGAGGGAGAATCACACTGTTGATATCTTCTTAAGACACATGCAAAACCATGCATGGAAATGATATAGCTTGTATCAGTAAGGTGTTTGCAGCCCCTCTCATGTTTCTCTTTTTTCTTGTCAGCACTAGTAGTTGTCAACCAGAACCATATTTCCTTCGGGAGAAAAACAAAGGTTATCAGATAAGACTTTTAAGAAAAGGAAAAACATATGACATTGATGTTTTCTCCTCTTCTTTCCAGAACCAAACTTTGTGTCTTCCTATGACATCGGAAATTTCACTTACTTCTTCTTTCGAGAAAACGCCGTGGAACATGACTGTGGGAAGACCGTGTTCTCCAGGGCCGCCCGTGTCTGCAAGAATGACATTGGAGGGCGATTTCTTCTCGAGGATACCTGGACTACCTTCATGAAGGCTCGCCTCAACTGCTCCCGGCCTGGTGAGGTGCCCTTCTACTACAACGAGTTGCAGGGCACCTTCTTCCTGCCCGAGCTGGATCTGATCTATGGCATCTTCACCACCAATGTGTAAGTGGCTGACAGAGCTCCGTTTCCTTTCTCTTCCACTTTTTCTGAATGGGCCTTTTGTTCTTCACCCTCTGAGGGTTTAAAGTTGCACTAGAGGAAGTCTTTCTTATTTTCCTGGGCTAACAGCCAAAGAACCACAAAAAGAGTCTTTTCAGTATGAATTAAATATTAAGTAAAGATATAGGACTTGCTTTAGGAAAGGAAAGCACATTCGAAGTATTTTTTATTTGTCCTTAGGAAAAAGTAGTATCGAATTATCGTATTATGGATTGCACCTTCCTGATTAGTGAGTGTGTCCTAGACACTTTATGAAGTGCCGATACATATCAGATGTATTATTTTTTGTAGAAAAGTCATACATTTTTGCATAATAAAAACAACATTATCTGGAAAGTCTGAGCTTTGTGATCACATCATTCTTGCCTGGACCTGTGCAGTCATGCGAAATGCAGCTCCTTGTGTTTCTCTTGAGAAGATGTTACTAACCTCACAATGGATAGCATATGACTTAGGAAAGCTTGGGAAGTTTCTGAGCTCTCACTAAGCCTTTCCGTGGTGGGATGTCTCATGACACTGCATTGGCTTGCCTTTCCTTAGCTGTGGTTCTGTGAGAAGACCTCAGGTGTATCTGCTGCCTGTCGGGCATTAGGGACCATGCGGGAGCTCCGGGGTATACACCTCTATATGAGCAGTGCTGGTTATAGTTCTACAGTGCAGGCTCTGACTTGGAGCTCCAGCCTGGAGATCTAACAATTTACACAAAAGTCAAACAACTGTTTCCAAAGTAAAGAATTCAAAGTAGATGTAAGAAAAGTGCTCAGAGGTGGGATATTGGCCCACCTTCCATCCCTGGCTTAATTCCTGTTTCATTGTTGATGGCTGGAAAATCTTAACTGTGCCCAAAGTAGTCACTGGGTTAACGTGTGATGTTTTGTCCACTCTCTCTGTAATTTCCTTTAATATTTGTGTGTGTGTGTGTGCATGTGTGTATGTGTGTGTATGTGTGTGTGTGTGATATGAGTGTATATGTGTATGCATATATGTATGGGTATACATGTTTTCCAGCATATGTATATGCATGAGTGTGGAGGCCCAAACTTGATGCTGTATATCTTCCCCCATCACTGTTATTTATTGAAGCACAGACTCTCACTGAACTTAGAACTGGCCAATCCAGGCATTCTGTCTAGCCAGCCTGCGCCAGAGATCCCAGTCTCTGCCTTGCAAGTGTGGGATTACAGGTAGCCACCCCTTTTCCTGGCTTTCTGTGATTTCTGAGTCCTAGTCTTCAGGCCTCATACTAGGATAGGAAATGCTTTATCTACTGAACCATCTCTCCAGCCTCCTTTGCCTTACATCACTGGTATTAGAAGGAGCCTGTCTACAAATGGTGTCCTGAAGAGTCTCTTATCCCATAGCCTCCTTCTTCCTTTTTCTCTACTCTCACCACTGTGGTTAGGTGTTCATGGTCACTGGATATAAGCATTCCCCACACTGACTGTCTCATTTCAACATGGAGTTAGAAAGCTGTGATATGGCTGACTGGCCGCCACCCGCTTCACAGTGGCCATTTCTATTGTTGATCTACTTCTCAGCCCCAGAATCGGTTTTACTACTTGAGGATTTTCTTCTTCATACAAAAAACAATTTCTGGTTTCTAGAGTTGACATGCTTCTCAAAACCTTGTTTAAGAACTAGTGTCAGCCACGCAAGATAAATGCTCAGTCGCTCAACTGACATCAGTTTTATACACTGTGGGAGTTTGGCTTACATAGTTCTCCATTTGCTGGCTCTGAGTCAGAAATAACAGCAGCAAAAGCTCCCATTTCCAAAGCTCTATAGGCTCTATGCCTGTGCCATTCCTTGGTGGGTTCTCAGCCTTCCTAATGCTGCAACACTTTAAGACAGTTCCTCATGTTATGGTGACTCCCAGCCGTAAAATTATTTCATTGCTACTTGATAACTGTAATTTTACTACTGTCATGAATTGTGATGTAAATATGATATGTAGGATATTGGGGGGGTTGTCACACCCCTGAGGTTGAGAACCACTGATTTAGCATTGTCAAAAGGTTTCAAGTACTGTCCAGGATTGCCAATGTCCACTATATCAGAAGCCACCTAACGTCAAGTTCCCTGCAGACAGGCAAGAATTCTCATCGTACTTACTTTCATCTCTTCATCCGCTTCATGATGGGTTCCAGCTCTCCCCTTCCCCGCTTTCCATCTTACCTTCTTGCATCAGGCAACATTCTGGAAGAGCAAGAGAAAGGAAGGAGGAGGGAAAGAGGGAGGGAGAGAGGGAGGGAGGGAGGGAGGGAGGGATGAAAGAAAGTAAGTAAGGACGACGAGAATGCTTGCAGGGACCGTGA